CTGGCCTCGAACTCACAGAGATCCGCCTGCCTCTGCCTCCCAAGTGCTGGGATTAAAGGCGTGCGCCACCACCGCCCGGCCAACTTCATCTTTTTGAAAAGAGAGTTCTGTCTTCCCTTCTGTGAGTGATTCTCTCTCCTTCCTTCTCCTCTCTTCACTCATGTCAGCACCTACATCCACACACCACATTCCAGGCCAAGCACCTAGTGTGTATCTGTGGTATTTTCTCCAGACTTATGTAGACTAAGAAAATAATACAATACTAAGCAACATAAAACCTTAAAATGCTGTCCCAGCTTTCTTCTCCTGTAACCCACCCCCCACCCCATGTCCTGTGGATGCTCCCCCACTAGCCGGATCCACTCAGAATCCGGAGTGAAAACAAGCTCACAGATGCATTGAAATAAGCCAGCCTCCAAGACCCAACCTCAGCAAGAGGAGATGGAGAGAATCCAGTAACGCACTTTCCCAGCCTCCATAGCTGTGAGACGTTTCACGGTAAGTTGTCACGCGCTGTTCAAGCTCACTGTGAGGCTGACTCTGGAAGTGGGGTTTTCAGAGTACATTTGTCTCAAAGTGTCCTTCAAGGCCCCTTGTCTAGCACAAGCTGGTTCCATTAACTGTACCACTGAGGGCAGAGAAGAGCAAAACAGTCCCCAAGTGAAAACACTGCGTCCTTGAGGAGAGCTAGAAGATGAAGCATTTCCAGCAGAGGGCACTGTAACTTATCCGTTCTATAAAAATGCCTGCAGGGGGAGGGGAAGCTGGGAGTTTGTCCCCAGAGAGAGAGCTCAAGTGAGAACTCCAGTTGCTGCCTCAACTTCCCCAGTCAGCTCCCTTTGGGTGCTTATTTGATGATGTAACCTTTCTGCAGTTACTTATTCTTTTTCTCGGTGCTTCATGGGAGGAGGGAGAAGGCGGGGGGAGATGACTCCCCGCTCTCAGCCAAGACTGTCCCTATCAAGAACTCCAGCAGGCTACCTTAAAGGGGTTTCCCCAGTCCATTTCTCCTGGATATTTTGGGCACCTGATTTGATGACATTTTACTGTCATCTAATGTTTCCTATTTATCCTTTTTCTTTGGTTTGCTATATACTTATCAAACCCCCTCATTCAAAACCAAAACTAGAGCTGTCACAGATCTTTCTCGGCACCATACAGAACAGCTCTACTGTTCAACTCAAGGAGTAAAGCGTTACTGGTGTTCTCAAGCCCCACCCCCCCACCCCCCCACCTACCCCTACCCCTACCCCCCACCCACTAACCCCCTCTGCCCCACCCCTCCTCTGGGTAAAGACAGCTATTGTTTGGTGGGCACGCTCAGTTGGCAGAGTGCTTGTCTAGCCAGCATGAGGACCAGCCTCCAGTACATAACAAGTTTGAGCCAACCTGGGCTACATGAGACTCTGGAAAGAGAAAAAAGGGAGAGAGAGAGAGAGGGAGGGGGAACGGGAAGGAGGGAGGGAGGAAGAATGGGAAGGAGGGAGAGAGGGAGTAGGAAGGGAGGGAGGGAGAAAGGGAGGAGGGAGAGTGAGAAGGGGGAGAGAGGGAGGAAGGAAGGGAGGAGGGAGAGTGAGAAGGGGGAAGGAGGAAAGGGGGAGAAAGAGAGCAATCACTCAGTCTCCCCACTCACCAGCACTCACCAGACAACCCCAGGGCCTCCCACATTCTAGGCACTCACTCCAGGCCCTTATTTTGAGACAAAGCCTTCCTAAGATACCCAGCACACTGGCCTCGAACTCACCCTGTCACCCCCAAAAGCACCAGTTAGTGCTTCCTTCTGCCTCAGCCCCCTGAGTAGCTGAAAACACAGATCTGAGGCCCCAGGCCCAGCCGCCACCTATCTTGAAATATGTCCTCCTTCCCCCAAAATGCCTTACATTTCTACTTCACTCACATTTCATATATGTGGGAATTTAATGATGTTACCTTTATGTTCATAAATTTGTATAAAGGGGTGCCCAAGGAAGTCAAGAGTGCGTGCAGCTCTTTCAGAGACCGGAGTTCAGTTCCAAACAACCACATCAGGCTGCTGGCAAACACCTAACTCCAGCTCCAGCAGCATTCTAGCCTCCACAGGCATCTGCACACACACACACACACACACA